GTTGGGACGGGGACGTGGCAGAGCAGAGCTAGCCAGAATGCTGCACATTTTTTCCACTTAATTCCCTGCAATTACTGGGCAGAAAGAGACAATGTTATTACCATGTTTTGGTTTTATTTTAAGCCCCTTCGCAAGGTGGTCAGTGCTCGGTGGAGAGGGTTTTAAACAATGCTAGAGCTGGATCTTAAAGGGAATAAGTGGGAAGGATTTGTGGGCTGGCAGATGCTAGATTAGCATCCTAAGAGACTTGATGAGTATTAAACTGTCCTAGTGAAGGAGTGGAGATAGAATCAAGCCATTTCTTTACATTTTCTTTTGGTTTTTGCTCTCCCTTGAGAAGAGACTTGGAGTTCTCTTGGTTTCTTCCTGCCTCTGCTATGGGTTCTTTCCTGTGGGGGGGTTTGTGAGCCGTTTGAAGCGGGTTCTCTTTGCGTACCTGACTTTTGGATGTTTGCAATAGCTGTGTCCAGGAATAAAACCAAACCGAGACCAATGAACGGTTCCCAATTGGGCAAGGTTCTTCCAAGCCTCGGGTGTTGCTGCTGCAGAGCTGGTTCCTGTCCGTGATGACACGATGCAGTGGAGAACTTTGCTTGGATAAAGGAATCACAATGTCGCCAGGCCGCAAGAGAAATAGTTAAAACAATGGCAAGGGAGTTTGTAAGCAGCAGAGGGTTTGGTTTTGGAGGTGGGGAGGGGAAGGGTGGGCTGGGATGAGTGGTTGGGAGCAATGGGGAATTGCCTCTGCATGTTGAAGTCCTGACTGCAATAGCACCATTGCTGTATTCATATGTAGTACCTTTTAAAACTAACTATTTATATTGTAAAAAACCCAAGTGTGTTTCCTCACCCCATATTCAGATTCTGTTGAAACGTGACCCTGGAACTGTAGAGAGCCCTTCCTTGGTGCAAGGGTGCTCCCTTTTTGTTGATTTTTCAATCCTTCTCTTTGCTTTAGGAATGACTTGTGCAGATCCTCTATAATGACCGTATTGATGGCCTCTGTGCATCAGACTGTTGAAAAGGAAAGAGGAAATGCACATTCCTCCCCTTCCTCCAGTGAAATATATTTGTAAGTGTCTGATTATGTGCTAAAAAAATAATGATTTTTTCCCCCTGTCCCCTAGATAAAGGATGTGATGTATTTTTTGCATATTTTCTCCCTCTGCCTCTAGGTTCATAATGAATTAAAGGCTGTTGAGCACTTCAGAATGACACTTTCTGGGGGGTTGAAGTCTCTTCATTTCTAAGCTTAAAGTCTTGTGTACTGCAGGAGAAGGTGGCTCCCACATCTGATGGGTAAAGCTGGCTGCTAAAACTGAGCCGAGAGGAGCTGAGCCTGATGAAGACGAGCGTGGTCCTTTCCTTCCTCTCTGTTAACCATGCAGGAGGTTTGTCCTTGCACCCTTCCCAAAATGAAGAACCGAGCTTGCAGTCCATTTTTGTCCAAGGTCCAGGACTTGCTCGTTCAGGAGAACCATGGTTGTTCAATAGTGGTTCTAAACCCCTTTGTCTTTTCAATCACCACTTTGCTGTTCCCCTCTTTAAGTAGCATCTTCCTGAAGCTTCATTTAAACCTTTCTTTCCCATCCTGAGCCCTGATACTTTCCTACAAATTCCTCTCCAATTATTGCAGGATGAGGCTAATGCTGGAGATCATGGGAAAGAAATCTCCAACTTCCACTCTTCTGCAGTTTAACAGTTGGTTTGGAAGTAATCTGCGGAATCGCCCTAGAGGGAAGAAGCTGCTGCTACAAAGTCAGTTGGGATTCACACGCACGCCAAGCTTACCTTTGAATTTCAGATCTGCGATGTTGCTCTGAAATCGTATTAGTTCTTATTAAAGATGTCTTAAGAAGCAGCATGTGAAGTAACTGCCTGGATCAGTGATCAAAAGGCAAGGATCAAACCTTCCCGTCGCTCTAGCACAGCCTTGCAGGGTGGAATAGACATTTCCACACAAACCTCGCGAAGTCACAGTGAGTTTTTGTTATTTCCTGAGGTTTCTACAGCAAAATAGAGGTGATGTAGGGCTATAGGAAATCCTGCTGTGCCCAGGAGTCCTCAGGGAGACCATGTGAATGACTCCTGTAGTGAAGTGCTTTGCTTCCTATGCTTTCCTGTTAAGCATCATTCGGGGCTGGATGGAAGAGAGCACAACTCATTACCCTCTTTGTCTAACCTCTGCATCTCTTTTTATCCGTGAAGAAACTGTATGTCTGTGTGTGTCTGTTAAACCTAAGCAGCTGAGCTGCATCTCTTCCTGAAGCATGTTTCAATTCCCTCCTTTTGCTCTTCCACATTCTCCGTTTGAGCCAGCTCCATCCTCTTGAGGTCTTAAGATTCCACCTCCAGCCCTGGGCAGCATGTTCATACAGCGGTACCTGCTGTGCAGCTCCATCCTGCCTGGTGCTTGCCTCTGGAGAGGGTTTTGCTTAGGACTTGGCCACTAATGGACCTGGGTTGCCCAGGTAGGGCTGAGCTGCTTTGTCTTGCACTGCAGTTTCTTCTTGCTGCGTTGCAGCAGTCCGGCTCGTTGGGCTGGTGAACAGCAGGGTGCCTTCACACAAGCAGATGTTTTGAAACCCGGCACGCAGGAGCCGCTAACACTGCCTGAGTCAGTGTCACCAACTGTCACAGGCACAATGAAGTCATTTTGTGGTCATTGCTGGCAGCAGTGGGAAGGTGGGGATCAACAGCCTGCTCGTTCCTCCTCTGAGGCCAGTGGAGGGTGGAACAGTGGATGGAGATTCATTAACTCCTCCTCTGGTGAGAGAAAGATCTTGCTGAGAAGAAATGGAGGAGGGAATTCCCTGCTTTTCCTTTGTAAAGGCCAGGATTATTTGGAAAACTAAAAATGGTGGTGGTGTTTGGGTGGAGCTCTTCAGTGGTGGGCTCCATTCATGGAGAGCCCCAGCTTCCAGGAAGCTTGTTTAGTGTCTGCTTCTTGTTCCAACAGGACTAGAAGATACCACAGTTCTTCTTGCAGATGCATTTCTGCAAGGCTCTGGCATTCCGATCCCTGGGTGCATGTTCACACGTGGGGTTTTGTGGCTTTCCCATTCACTGTTGCTCCTCTGGCTTCCAGTTCCTCTGCTTGTCCATGGGAGAGCATCCCAGGCTTTCAGGCCCTCCCTGTTTGGTGTGCTCGCTCCTTTCCTTTTTGCTTTGCTATTGGGGCTGTTCAGTTTAGGGAGGGAGCAGCTGATGGAAACCCCTTGCCGTGTGCTTTGGGCAGTTCTGCAGAACTTTGGTTCCTTGAGCTTGTTCTGTGGGTTTTTTCTCAGTTCCTCTTCCCTTGCTGTTCATATTGGTTCTTCACCAGTAGTTCTCCTTCAGCTTGAACAAATCACACTGGTTTAATAAGTTACTCATAAAACAGGTACACTTCCCATTGTTTTGCTTGCAATGCTTTACTCGGGGTTTTAGCTTAAGGTAGTCAGGAGCCATTTAAAACGAACTTTGCTTTGAGTTGCTTTGCATCTGGACATGCTATTTTAGTTTAACAGCAATTTCTGTTGAACTAGTGGGATTTGTCACAAGGGCTTGTCTTCTGTGTGGTGGACATCACTCAGCTGAGGCCTCAGAGGTAGATGGTAGTAGATCAGCACATTGCTTGCGTCCATTCTCTGTCTGGTTTCAGTTTCTTCACAGCATAAGGTGAAGCCTTCCCTGCAGTAGGTTCCTTTGCTAGGGCTGCAGTAGGCAGGTCTGTGTTACTTTCCTTGTTTGGGCTTCTTTTCCCTGCTCTACCTATAGCTAAAGGTGGTCTAATAAACTTTCTGCACCCTTTTTGTACTAAAAGAGCCTTGAGCCCCCTGCTCTACTGGAAGGTAAATCAGGTAGAGCATGGCAGGGGGTTGGAACTGGATGAGCTTTAAGGTCCCTTCCAACCCAAACCAGGCTGGGATTCTGTGCTAATTAAATGATTGCAAAGTCCTGACGTGCAAATAGACCAAGCTGGAAAGAGCGCAGGTTTGTAGAGAGCTTTTTCCAGGCGTGCGGTTGTGCTTGGATGGATGAAAGTGAGGAGCAATGCTGCCAAGTGCCTGTGCTGCCCCTCTCACCAGGTAGGTGTGATAACAGCTACGTGCAGCTATTTCCACACTCTCCCATCGTCTCACACCCTGCTGCTGCGTCCCGGGGTGCCCGTGGGATGTGTGGATGGAGCCTTGTGATGAGCACCTCCCATGGCCTGAAATCACCTCCTGTTTCCTGTGGCATTAGTTTCATATTTCTTGGGTTAGAAGGACAGTTCATCCCTTTATCTCATTACAGGTTAATGAGGAGGCCCTACAAATGAGTTTAACCCCAGGATATTTAAATGATGTCTGCGTCAGAGTACCTGGTACAGGTGATAACTGCCAGTGTTCTTTGCAGCAGAAGGTGAAGCCTTTCCTGCTCCTTCAGTTTGCCAACAGGAATAAAGATGGAACAACTCCCTTGAGACTCCAGCAGAAAACACTGAGTTCCTGTAGGTTCCTGTTGTCCAGCCCCACATTCAGGTCATCTCTCTTGCTTCTCATCCCATGGAAACTCTACTGGCACACACACACACACACACACACACACACAAAAGCAAATTAACTTTGGCAAAATACTGTGATTCAAATGAACTGGAGATGTTGAGCTAGAATTATTTGGCAGCTTTGATAGCAGAAAAAGATAACTGCTTGCTTGACTTGCACACCAATAGGAAATTACAGGGAGTCATTTATTCTGCATGAGAGGAGCAAAAGAATTAATTTCTTTTGTTTCCAAGAGGGGAAATGTAAAGGTCGCTGTGCAGATACTGTTTGGAATCACACAGCGACCACAGCTCAGCCACTTTTCCTGTGGGATAAATAAGAATTTGGCTGTCTTTCAGCACAGTTGACTTTGGCTTACCTCTATACCTTCGCTTTGCCATCTCAGATGCCAGCTGCTAATATCCCCCAGCAAATGAGCTTGTAGCCAAGCTGCCTCTGAAGCAGGAGTGGTTCCCTCCCCTGTGCCCCAGATCATGGTTTAAAAATAAGTCAATGGACAGATCCACTGCTCATCTGCTCCATTTAACGGAGCCATCTCTCGGAAACACAGCAAATTTCCTTTGATTAGGGCTGCATGGTCACTTACCCGTGATACAGGCCAAGATGCCGCTGCCCTTTACAATAGCAGGGATTCATCTGCCTGCCTAAAAAGATCAAATGTGAGTTGATTGTGGGTACAGAAGGGTCACTGGGCAATTTTCTGTGTGGAGGAGCAATGAGACAGGGAGGAAGAGCTGTTGTGCAAGTCTCATTTCTTTCAAGGTTTAGTTCCTTTTGTTATCTTCACAGCTTGGAGTCACTAGAGAATATGGAGGTTGAAGAAGTGGTGCATCTGATTAAGCTGGGATTCAGATAGGACATGGAATTCACACTGCAATCCAGGAGCTTTGTGTCCTGGGGTGGGTGATTGCTGTGATGGGAGCTCTCCTGTAGGAAAATGGCCCAGGGATTTCCCAGCAACTGTGTGTGATAATGCTGGGAAGGGGACCCTGACATCGAGCCTCCCAACCCCACTGTGATTTATGCTTACGGGTGCTTTCCTTGACTTTGGACATCACTTTGTGTTTTCAGATTTACTCTCAAAGCTCCAAGAGCAAACTTCATGTCTGGTTGTGGCCCTGCAGCAATCACTGCAGTAGTTCACCAGGTGATTGACTGCAAAGAGGGGAAACAAAACACCGTTTCCTTGGGCACACTGGGGTTTTCTGTACACAGTTTCCATTGCAGCCTGGGCTGCTTTGGGTGCTCCTAGTCCCAGAGCAGAGTATTTCTAACCTCATGCTCCTACCTCTCCCCCTCACCAAAAGCCCAGGAAAAGGGAACATCCCTTGGGTTTCTTCCTGTGGGATAGGACCCAATGCAACATGAGTACAGCCTGTCAGTGTCTTGTCACTTCTCAGATGTGCTTCTATTTACTGCCATAATCAGTGTCCCTGACAGGCAAGGCTCAACCACTGCTCTTGAGTAGAATTGTCATCATGACAGGTCTGTTGTGGGAGAGAAAATGTGCGCCTTTCAGAGTTGTCTCTCGGATAAAGAGCAGCAGCAGAATTGGAGATTAACCCCCTGACACAGGGCTGACGTGGGGATTGGGGCAGGGGCTGCGCTCCCCTTGCCTTCAGCGGCGGGCTGCTGTTTTCTTCCCTTATCCCCTCTTGGAACAGAGAAAGGCAAAGCATTAACTGTCCTCTGTGTGCTCCTCTCCACAGATTTGCACACCTTGGATGTGTTGGGGGACACCCACACGTACCTGGATCAACTGGGCCACCTTCTAGGCTGAGCTTGGGACCCAGGCTGTGAGCTGGACCCACCGAGAAGGTGCAGTTGCACAGCTCCAGATGGAGGTAAGTGAATTCTCTCCTGCTCCTGAGCTCTTGGGGGATCCCTTCTGGTTGTGTCTGGTGGACTTCCCTCGCTGAACACCGGGAGGAATCCATCCTCCTCTGGGGACCTGGACTGAGGCTCTTCCCTCATCGTCAAATGATGGCACTTCAGTTAAAGGCGAGTTGGCACAAGCTAGTGCTACCAGAGCACTAACTATAGTTCCCTTCCAGCCCTTGCTTCAAGCTGTTTGTTCCTATGTGAGCAAAGCAGCACTGAGGCATCTCGTGATCTTGGGCCTCAGATGTATCTTGGAGACACGGGTTGGTGACATTCAATTGCTCTGCCGGTTTCCCTCTCCTGACGTCTGCCTGGATGCAGCTGAGCACAGAAACCCCTCAGCTGAGTTCCTGTGGATCTTTCAAACAGCTTCTCCTAAAATACTGGGGCTCAGTCACTGTGTGAAGGAAGAGCTTGGGCGAGCCGGGAGCCGCGCGCAAACCGCCTCCAGCATCGCACCTGGGACCCGGGCCCCCGTCAGTGCAGGCACAAAAACCGGGGTAAAAGGAGCTCCTGGAGGCCCAGTGGAGCTCAGGAGCAGGCGGGGCTGCCCGCCCCGAGAGCTGCTGCGTCCCAGCGTGGCTTCCTGGTACCCGTGTTCATCCTGCATCGCCTTCTGCCGTGGGTACCGCAGCTCGCTCTTGTGGGCCTCAGTTCCTGCATCTGTCTGGCGATGCTTAGAATCCTGCCATCCCTTTCCTTCTCGTGTCTATCTCAGTTCTCAGCAGGGGAAATTCTTTCTTTTGAGCAGCCTTGCTTTCGGTTTAACAGCTCTGCTTTCCTCCAGAAAATTGCAAATACATTCACTCCAGCTGCTTTGTTCCTACACTGGGTTCATTGCTTTCCTCGGGACTTGACTGCACCGTGTTGGGTGAGGAGGAGGGAAATGCCTGCCACGAGCAGGCCTTCAGTGCTGAGCATCTCCTCTGAGTTCCAGGCATTTCCCTTAGGGCTTTCTCCAGTCTACAGCAAGGAAAAGAAAAGTAACTCGAGGTAGTGGATTGTTGGCAAGCAGCCCTTGTTTTCTATTTCAGTATTTTTGTGAGGTATTAACTCCAGAGTAGACCAGGGAAATTCACTGCATTGCGTTTTTGTGTCACAGGAGAATCCTGCATACGTGATTGGGATTAAGACTATTTGACACAGGAGTAATAAACCACAGTTGAGACAGGCTGGTGCTCTGGAAAGTGTTTGCAGTCTGTTGGGGAGATGCCGCAGCTCTGCCTAGGACACAGTGAAAGGGGATGATGGTGAAACTAATGGGGACATGGGGTTTGCTGTGCCTGGAATTGTGAGCCTTCTGGCTATTTGATTTTAGTGCTGCAGTAGACAACAAGCTAATAAAGCATCAATAACACTTGAGGCAGTTGGCCACCACTGATGTGGTTGTGGTTGCTCTTACAGGAGGGTTTGAAGGTTACAGTTTCAGGGTCAATTTGGGCAAGAAGCAAGAATATGACATAGTATTTCTGCCACCTTTGTAGCTGCCTTCTTGCAGTGACAGGCACATGTAGGGTGCAGTGAGATTAGGAATGGATAGATTTGTTTGGAATGCTTTATTTCTTTAAAGTGACGAGCTGTTGCCACATCTGTAGACATACACTGAGCTTCCAGAGATGTGGAGAAGCTCGGAAGAAAACAAAATAAACCCGATTGAATGGCTTGTGCATTGTAAGGGTTTCACGGGTCGGGGCTGTCTCAGGTGTTAGGAGCTGAAGTGTAGAACTGCCTTTGGTGCAGATCCAGCATCCCCCCCTTAGGAAAGGCGTGAGGATTACCCATGAGAGACGCATCAAATGCACCGGCCAGGCTGGATCCTGCTGCCACCGCAGTTCCCTGGGAGAAAACCAACTTTAGATGGCTTAGAAAAGGAAAAGTCAAATCCCTGCGAATTGCTCAAGGCTCCTTTGCATTCATCCTGCATCCCCCCTTGGAAAGGAGGGGTGGGTGGGAGCCAGCTCCTCCCAGCAGCAGTGGCGGGGGGATAGGGACCCAGAGCAGGGGCCTCAGCCACTGTGTGCCCAGGGCTTCACTCATGGACCCCCCAGCCGGGGCAGGGCTGTTGCTGCTTTCCCCCTGTGAACAAGGGAGCAGACAAAAGCTGCCAAGATCTGATAATAGAATCTGTTTGGAACAGCTGTCTGCTGACAAGTATAATAAACTGTATTAATGGTGTCATTATTATTCCCTAATTAAAAGCTAATAACTAAGAGTTAATTGCCTTTAAAAGATGAAGCAGGGCTATGGCAGGGATTTATCTCTGTTTTTCTGAGCTTGCCTGGCTCTGCTGATATTTTCAGGCTAATTAATTGAATCAAATCTTACTGAAAACTAATAATCTCTCCGTGTCGATTCAACCAATTGAATTAAAAGGTGTTTGCTGTGTGCTCGGGTTAAAACCAAAACAGATGAGTGTTCCTTGCAACTCCTTACCTGGGGTGATGACAGCCAGCGGGGCTCAGGGCGGCACGGGGCGCAGGGGCTCTCCATGGCTCTGTGGTTTATGGGGAGCCAGCAGGTTCCCTTGCTGTTGAGAGGAGCTGGTGGAACCCCATTGCCTCTAACTTGGTTATTGCTGAATAACTGCTCTTGTGTGGATGGACACAAAGCACCTGCAGCCTTAATAAATGGGTTTTATCCAGAGACAGCAATAAAACGAGATAGATGCTGAGGTTTTCTCTTTGGCTGTCGATGAAGATTTCTGCAGTGAGTGCAGGATGAAGTCTTGTGTGAGGATCTGGTTTCATTTCATCTGATGGGCAATAAGCCATTCACAAACCTTTACTCCCAAGAGCTGGGACTGTTTGGAGGCAGGGCTGCTGGTTTCTGCTGTCCCTCATTGTCCCTCCATCACCACTGTCCCACGGGGGGGTGTTTTTGGGATGTAGGTGCCACCCCAGAGCTGTGCAGGAGCCTCCCATCCCTGCCCCAAAAAGGAGCACTTCAGTATCCCCCTTATAAAGCTCCTGATAGTTGTGTGATGCGAATTGAAAGGAACCAAATGTTCTCGTTGGAAGTTCACTTTATCAGTGTTAATCTTCTGTGTGGAGTAATTTTGTTAAAGCTCCCCAAAGAGTAAACTGTAAATTCATTAGTGCCCGTTTTGGACTGCACCTTCCTTCATTTTGGGTAAAAAAGAGATTAGAAGTCATCTGGGCTCCGTGTTAATTAAAAAGAAGATGCTCAAACATAATTCTTAATTAAACAGTAATGAGATAAGAACTTGTGTAGTCTGCTTTTAGGCTGTTGGAAAGATGCAGAGGTTCCCATTGTAATTATGTGATTTATGATCTTCCACACAAAGATGTAATTAGGCTCCCCCCCCCCCTTTTAAAAAATTAAACATTATTTAGATAAAAAATCACACAGAAATGTGAATGTGCTTTTCCTGCTGGAATAGCAATTGGGTTTGATTTATTTTTATGGTTCAACCTAAAACCTTCCCCCATAACTAAGAGGTGATGCCCTAAACTACAGGAACTTCCCCCTGCGCCTCAGAGAGCCCTATGGCTCGGGAGGCAGGTTGTTGGATGGGATGGGGTGGAAGAGGGAGATGGGGAGTGAGACATTCGAGGCCAAGAAACTGTGGAAGTGGTTTTTTCTGCTTAAAAAGGTGAAATCTGTGTTCCCAGGTGACACCTGCACAAGGCTTCCCCCTGCTCAGACCCATAAATGGTTTGTTTCTGCCTCTCATCTTCTGGGAAGAGATGGAGCCCTCAGCATGCAAATCCCCACTGGTGAGTTTGAACACCTCTGCCTCAGGGGGGTCGTGGAACTGTTCCACACAGGCACCCAGCGGAGCATCAAACAGCGTCCTGCCCTGCAGGAAAGCACGCCAAAGGGGAGCCAGCTCTTCAGGGTTTCTTCCTTCAGGCGCCTGCCTGAGTCTGCTGTTGAAGCTCGGATCCCTTGGACCAGCATTGCTCCAGAGCTCATCTTCTTGTCCCAGATTCTCCTCATCCCATTTTGCTGCAGGATAGACTGTGCCTAACAGCCAAGGTGGGGAACCCACCTCGCTGGTGCAGGGGAAAAGGAAGGGCACGGTGGTTTCAGGTCAGATTGGTGCCTGAAGGGAGGGGCTGTGTGGACAGCAGTGAGGAGAGCTTCAGGTCTCACCCCTGGAACAAGCGGCCGGGTTAGAGGAGCGGGGTTCCTGGACCTTGCTGAAATAACATGAAAGAACCAACACCAGATCTCTGGATTTTGGTGCTTTGCAGAGAGTCAGCTTGGAATGGGAAGGCTCAGGGCAGAGGTGTTCATTGTGGAAACCCACAGAGGTTTGGTCAAAGGCCTGTTGCTGGTACGAGGTCTGTTTAAGGAAGGAATTGCTCATCAGTCGCAGCACCTGAAGAGTCCTGAGGTCCCACACCCAGCTGCCTTGGCACTGGCACAGGTGGTTTCTGTCGTGCCCTTCCCAGCTTAACCTGGCTGAGCAGACTGTGCTGATCCTCCTGGCACCTTCGTCCCCCTTTAGGGGAGCAGGCACAGAGCAGTTTCCCCCCTTTCCTCGTAAGGAGCAGAGCATCTCCACCTGCCCCACAGGCAGCTCTGTACGGCTGGGCAGGTGCCCGGGAGTGTGAGCAGCATCTCCCGAGTACAGCAGCCTCCAAAGTGGGGCACATGGGGGTCAGCAAGCGGTTCCCTTTTAACTTTGGAAATGCATTTCCTGGCAATTGTATTCCCAAACACTTCTAAGGCCCCTTTGTGCAGTAGATTTTCCCTTTGCTTCTCTAAAGCAGCAGAGAAGAACATGAGTTCCTTTGTTCATGGTCAGGAAGGGGCTGTTAATGCCCCACAGCTGCATTGCTACCCAAATTACACACCTGATGCCACTTTGCAATGCTCAGGGTCCTGATCAGTTCCAGTCCTGCTGTGTTCTAGCTTGCTGCTTCATTTTGCATGTGCTTGACCTGGGGTAGGAGCTCAGCAACACCAAGAGGCTTCTTTCCCTAGGGATGGAGGTTATGAA